TACTGCTCCAAATATGTACCTAAAATATATTCCATTTCAGGTATCGTGATTAATCTGTGATTATAAAATTGTATTCTGAGGACAAATTTGAATATCGTTGATAAAAAAAAAATAATTCCCCATATAAAACCTGAAAACATAGGAAAATTGGTCAGGTATGGTTCATATTAACAATTCCCCTAACCCAAAAACAGAGAAGAATTTTAAGAATATGTAAGTTGATACTCAGGGTATAAAAGAGAAATTAAAAATGGTTAAAAGTTTCATGACCAAATACCTGGACAGAGCTTGTCTTCTTTAATGATAAATAATCAGGGGGGAAAAAAAAAGAGTATGGGCTTTTTACAAGGTTCCATAGCAGAAAAAATTTGAGGCATGGAATGAAAATATGTTTTAAAAAGTTTTATAATTTAAAGAAATACTTCTTACATTTCTTTTCTCTATTCCTCCATGGTTTCTCTAGAGAAATCTGCTTACATTTGAATTATATTCCCTCTATGAATAAGATTTTATTTCTTTCATTGCTTATAGAATTTTTTTCTTTCATTCTCAAAAGTTTGGCTATGATAGTTCTTTGCATTTATTAGGGTTTCTTGTTTGTGTTTCTCTCAGCTTCTTGAATCTGTAGATTCATGTCTTTGCAAATTGAGAAGCTGGATCATTATTTCTTTCACTACTTTTTCATTTCTGCCATCTCTGTCCTCTCCTTCCAGGATTCCAAAGACATGAATTCTAGATTTTTTGCCATAGTCCCAAGGGCCCTTGAAGTTCTGTTAATTTTTCTTTAGTCTATTTTCTGTCTGTTGTTGAGATAATTTATAATGTCCTATAATTCACTTGGGATCTTCATTGCAGCCTAGTGAGAAGGAAGTCTGGACTCCCTACTGAATCTTCGCTGACCTGGAAGGGAAATGGAGTCACAGTTTTTCTGTGGTGTTTTTCTGCAGTAGACTGATGATATCATCTAAAAGTTTCTGTCTTCCTCTATTTCCCCTTTCCTGGGGTTAGAGAAAGCAGGCTTCTGATATAATGTGTGTCTGTTCCTATTAAGCATTTCTCGCTGGTCACTTTCTTAAGCTCCAAGTGTAGGATTAGGAGGTGAAATCAAAACTGGAAACTCACAACCATGTTCTTCCTCAATGCCCCTGACCTCTAGCCCCTCTTCCCTCTTTTCCCCACCTTTCTTATTAGGCTTTTAAATATATGTAATGTCCAGATCTGCTTATGGTGCTCCATGCCCAACCGTCAACAAACAGTACTAAGTTTCCAGTCAGTTCTTTCATAACTAATTCTGACATATGAATGGACCAAAGATCGCCAGCTCTTGGGGAAAGCTTCCAACAAAGAAGAAAGATACTGAAATCAATAAATGGAAAGGGCCAACTGTATCTTGTATGGATAAAGTAGGAACAGGAGAAAAGAACTTAAAAAGGAAACTATTTCTAACTCTCAAACATATATATGACATTACTTCCATAAAACAGGATGCTGTTTTTAAAAATAAATAACCAAAAATTAAAATAGAGCTCTTGGAAAAGAAAAGAAAAATGCTTGCAAAGAAATCATTTTTAAAACTGGAAGATGAAGATGTGGATATTTTCCAGAAAGGAGAACAAAAGAAGGAAAGAAATAGAAAAATAAGAGGAAAAAAAATTTCTAAGATTTATCTCAACATATCTTTAAAGGAGAGAAGAGAGGATAAAAGAGGCCAAAAAACATTAAATAAATAATACAACATAATTTTCCAGAATGTGCAAATTAAATCTGCCTACTGAGTGCTCAGTGTATGGAATGGTAGAGGGGGGAGAGTAGTAAACACCACACATTGTTGTGAAATTCCAGCAAACCAGTAGTAGAATATCTGTAAGTCTTTCATATGAAACAGTAGAATCAATATCATTTTTTAATGCTTAAAATATCCAAACAGGAGATAATGTCTAAAAAATGGAAAACTACGTGATACAGAGCAGGGATTCTTCAGATGCACAGCTAGTTTGTGAACCATTTGACATGTTTCTTAAGATTTTATATAAATGTTCATTATTTAGGGAAAGTCAGAGCTTTCAGAAACTTTCCTGATGAGTGATGTAAAGGAATAGATAGATGGATGAATGTATCCATGGATAGATGCACAGAAGGGTAGATGATAGGCAAATAGGTACAGATATAGATGAATGGATAGAGAAATAGATAGGCAGACAGATAAATAAATAAAATGAAGAAACCACAATTAGAGAGGAACCTTAAATATTCCTGAAATTATATCTCAGATTTACATTATTTGCTTTTTACTTGTTAACTCAATTGTTTGATTTGGGCTATACCATTAAAACCTCATTTATCTAAAGATCTTTGTCTGACAGTCTCTTTTATTCAAAACACATTCACAAACCCAACAATGAAAATTGGAGGCTTTTAGAACTGAGCCTAGTATATGATAATACTAATATAAAATGGCATTGTTTTTATGATCGTGTTTGTGAATCACATTCACAGGCATAATTTCATTTGTTCCTTCAACAGTTTTTGAGTTATGTAATCCAGGCTTTCTTACTACATTTGATTTACAGTTCTTCACATGTTGTAAGAAAAGCTCAACAGAAGAACACTCAGCAAATAAAGCCCAAAAAAGACATAAATTTGTAATAATCGTTACAGAGACTTTTAAGTCCGTGTTCATTGACAGGAATAGATCTGAAATGACGTGTTCTTTGATTATGAATCTGAATTACTAACACTTGATTGAAGATCTAACAGTAATGACTCAATCAGTGACATTAAGGGAAACAGATACAATGTTAACCAAATTTTCAGAAGAACTGATTCCCTAAATTTTTTTTTAACAGTACACATTGGGTTTTTTTATGGATTGTAAAATAGCATATATTCTTTTTTAAAAACTTGGAGATTATCACACAAAAGGACATTCATTAAAAACACCCATAATCCCAAATTCAGAAATAACAAATACTAAGATTTCTAGTACATGTTTTTCCAATTTTTGTCTATGCCTGCAGAACAAAATCATTGAATTGTATTTTCATTAACCAACTTTAGTAAATGTAAACAGGTTAATAAGAATTCCAAAATGTGCTATACACTAACCTGCTAAATAAACAGATAATTGAATGTATTTTAAACTTTCCTTGCTAACTCTGAGTCCTGGTCCCAACTGTTGTTTAATGACATTCTCAAGATCTTTTGAGAGAGGTGTCAGTCCCTGCCTCTGGTGCTCCACAGACCACTTTACTGCTCGCTCTTAAAACAAACAAACAAACAAACAAACAGACAAACTGTTCATGATTCTGTTTTTTTTTTTTTCCAATGAGTTGTTTTCTCATGAATGATCAGGAATTAACTGATTTTTTTTTCTGCCTTAAGAATAGTTATCCTGGGTAATGTCTATTTCTAATTTAATGTATCTAATGTGCTATAGACTGGGAACTAAATAGCTAAGTTTATTAATAATCATAACTCCACCCAGAGCAGTAAGTATAGCTAGTGTTTTTCTTTTTTCCTTTTTTTGAACACTTCTTCCTGGGCAATTTGTATGATAAGTGCTTTTAATCTTCATAACAACTGACTGGGAAACTCAGGATTTTCAGAGATTAAGTCAGTTGCCCAAATTCATACAGAGACACTTTTTTATTTTGAAATGAAACTTTAGCATATGTGTATTTATTTTTTCTTCCATTTTTATTGAGATATAATTGGCCTACAGCCTTGTATAAGTTTAAGGCATTCAGCGTGATGATCAGACTTAACATATATCGTGAAATGATCACCACAATAAATTGAGTAAACATCCACCAAACATACAGATACCAAATAAAAAGAAAAAGAAATTTTTCTCCTCATCATGGTAACCCTTAGGATTTACTCTCTTAACAACTTTCATATATAACATGCAGCCTAAAGACACTGACTTTTGAGGTAGAATTGAAAAGCCTTAAATCTAGAGGAGGAAAGTTATATTCTGGGGATTAGAGGCCTACATGACTGGTAGAATCATTGTTCTACTGAGCTAGGGATATGCACTCCTAGTGGAAGGCAAGATGGTTTTAGAGTGTACTATAAAGGATTTTATGTACAAGGACATGGATATAAAAGCAAACAATGTTGAATTACATAATGAGCCTTGAAAAAGCTTCAGTTTTGCTGGTTATGTCAAGGCTAAAGTCTCAGTGCTAATGTGTTTTTAACACTTATTAAAACATGCTGTAGTATCTTTTTGATAAAAAGAGGCAAGCCTCAGATATAAAGCTTTCAGTTCATAGTAGTGTCTAGCTAGAATTTGCTAACAGTTTGCTTTCATCGTTTATTTGTTAGGTTAATGCCTGTTTATAAAAAATAATTAGGATTTTTCCTTTGATGTTTTTCTTTCTAAATAAAATTATTTAAAGTTTAAAAGTTGAGAGTTTTTTTTTTTCTTTCTTTCTTTCTTTTTTTTTTTTTTGAGTCAAGTAACAACCTACATTCATAGCCTGGCAGAAAAAACCATGAAGATGGCCTATAAATTATTAAATATGAAAATATGCTTCTAGTAGGAAAAAAAGTTAAATTTAAAAGTTAGGGTATAATCCATTAAGGGGATAGGATTTTCCATGCCTAGAGAACTTGGGTGTAAGGGATGATGAAATGCTCTAAGTGAAAAGGACACTGATTCTCATTTTTGACAGCCTTGTGTTTCCTTGTCTTGCTTCTCTTGGTCTAAGAACCAGACAGATCTGGTCAGTTCATATCAGCTCCCAAGAGCTGACTGTTAAATTTTCAGTAATTTTGTGAGCTAGTTATTAAACATAGCCATTATCAAAGATTAAATTGTATAAACTTATAATTAAGTAAATTATAAACAAAGGTAAGAAATACTCAAAACTCATCACTTCCTAATTATTTTACTACATTTTACTATTTTCTTTGTTACTGAAGTTGTTTACATCTACTGTGTCTGTAGGTTGGAGATGTGATCTAACGGTGTGCTTCCCTGCATCTCTTACCAGCTCGGTGTTCAGTGACTTCATGTTGGCAGCTCAGAGGCGACCAGGCTGGAGTATTTACACTGTGGAAATTGGCAGAAGCAACAAAGTAAGACCTTTTCCTCTTCGAGAAGAGATTATTAAATGTTTATTGGTCTCATTGGGTATGAGAGTAAAAGGAACTGAACTTCCACATCCCTAGCCAGATGATTGCTGGTTCAGTGTTTCTAATTGGTGGTGGAAGATCTCCTTGAAAAGAAATAGATGGTAAGTAATTGAGAACAAACCTACCAAGGATGGCAGGTAGGAGTTGTTAATCTTGTGAGTAATTTGTGGGTGAGAAATCCCACCTCTTGCTAGAGAATATATCTTCTAATTTTTTTCTTCTGAAAACTGAATCCAGCTTCCTCTTGTTTCTCTTATTACTTTTAAAATAAAATGTGTTTATTTCAATAATTTCTGGGCCAGGAATCATGTTCTTCAAAAGTTTGATTACTTTCTTCAGTGATGTGAACTTAGTCTTAAAATCCACAAAATGTAAAAGACGCCAAAGTAGAGTGATAAAAATGTCAGTTGTCGCAACAGAATTTATGGCTTTGGTTTTAATACTAGGAGTGTTTTGAAAATATCTTGTCTCTTATCTTGTGCACACAGTGGCTCTTATTCAGCTGAGAAAGAGGTTAAGTGAGAAATGAGTTGGCTCGCCAAGGATACATTTTTTCTCCACGCACCCCCAACCCCCAACACACATATACACTCACACACACATACCCTGATGTTAATTTGATTTGAAAAAATATCAGGGAACATCATCATCAATTTTTCCTCTTGCAAAAGTGATTATTCTTGCTTGACTGCCCTCTGCTGGAATTGCTGAAATATACACTTTGCCTCTACTTCCAGGGATGAGTTGCAGGCAGTATGCAACTTAATATAATGTGCGCAGTCTTTTTGAGGCATATTATGTGCAGAAGCCCAGGTATGCAAGATTAGAAGTAAAACTGAGTTAAGCATTAAATGCAGTGGTCAAGTGTTGATTTAATTAGCCATGAAAAATAGCCAGGTTTTGAATGGATCAAAGAAAAACAATTATACATAATGGGTGAACTGAAAACAATTGACTATTACTGAAGGAGAGGAATGCTTTAATTAAAGTAAAAGATATACCTAATGTTAAATGAGGTGGTTACAGAAGCTCCACAAATAAAGCTGCTTAACTGCTGAGTATGAGAGATCAGAAGGAGCGTTTAAATGTACCTAATAAAAAAATGCAACCTTATTAAAATTGTATTGCTATTATTTAAAACTACAGTGAGCCTTTTGTCTGTTCTGTAAGTTAAGCCACCCCATTTAAGAATATCCATTTATTTGTTTAAAATATTTAGATTACTTGTTTATCATTAATTTTGATATAAAGATACTGCTTTTGTATACTTAATAAGAATATATTTCTTGTAATATTTAGAGAAAATTCTTTGAGAGAGAATAATGATTGTGGTATATCAGACCTTATAATGTACTAGTTTAGCATATACTTACTTCTATATTGGTAAATCACTCTGGAGTTAGAAGACTAGAAATCTGCTGTCAGGTAGGTTGAGGAGGTGGTGAATTGGCACTGTGGGACTCACCCTTGAATGGTATTATGCTGAAATATTTTTACTATAAAGATCAAACTTTCCTCTGTGGAATTTGAGCCAGTAAATGAAACAGACTTCCATCAGTGTATTTGCTGTTTAATGTCTGAGCCTTCATTTCCTGCACTATATTCGGTTTATGTCATCGTCAATGTAAGAAATCAGCAATTAGAGAGGAAGGGAGGGAGGGAAGAGGGTGACAGAAAAATCCAAGTCAAAGAATAAACAGAAAAGAGAAGAGTAAGAGATCCCTCCTCTACCCACACCATTGTGTTTCATTCTTGTCCCTCATGCGGATTAGACTCTGTAAAAAGCCAAGTTTTCCAAATTCAAGACATGGACTCTGCATCATTGAACATTATGACTGAAGTATACAATAAGGACAAGACCTTCTTGGAAACAATGCCAATCAAGTGGTCATGGATGTTAATTCTTTTGCAGTAAAAGCCAATACCACAGAAGCAAGTCATGTTTCCTGTTGTAAAAATGACAGTTATGTTTCTTTAAACTGAGGCTGTGGAGGGAAGGAGGGGGATTATAGAAACTCCTTCACTTCACCAGACCAAACCACCAGACCAAACTCTACCACCCCCACCAGCAATGGCGCATCTAGCACGTCTCCCAGACTCATTTGAAAGGAAGATCTGAAGGCAGAGTAGGATGGCAGACCTGGAATTTGATGTAACTTTTTGAGTGTCAGAAGACGAACTCTTACTCATGGAAGTTTTGAATGGAATAAAACAATCCAGATCTTTTCAGAGTAAGATATGATAAAACTTAAAAATATAAATGGAAAAAAAATTGGATTTGGGGGAAAACCTGTGTGTTCTAAACTTTGTTGAAATTATACATTCATATTTCAGGGTGACAATTTAGTCTAATGTCATTCTAAATGAAGAAGTAAACCCTATTTTCTTCAAAGAGAAAGATTAGTAGAAGATAAAATAATGAATAGCTACAGTGTTTCACATTTTAAAATGTTCTGTCACTGTGCTCATCATTTTACCAGCATTGTATCATTTGAGTTTTAAAAACTCCACTCTGAGGTGGGTACTTAATCATGCCCCTGTTATAGATAAGAAGACTCAGGCTCAGAGGCCCAAGGTCACAGAGACACTAAGTGCTGAAACTGAGAGTCTAAACCTGGTTTTTCTGACTAAGGGCAAAAGTCTTAAACGCATGATGCACTAGCGATATCATCATTCTTTCTTGGAAAATCTTTGTCTCCTTACAAGTCACTATCCTGATTATAAGACAAGGAATAGGCAGAACTCCCATGTCTACATACTTGGGAAACAAGGATGCTTGGGTTCTTTAAACTAAAACCAATCACATGGGACATTTCTAGATTACCAAGTTTCAAAGAATTATAAGAAATCATGCGCAAGATTGAAATGCTATGGAAGAAAATTTTCATCCTCTTTGGATAAATTACCGTTGTCTACAGGCCATCATCTCTGTTCATGTTTCCAGAAACCTATTCTGGGGAAATGATCTGACAGACAGGCTGCTCCCAGAGCAGCACGCCCCTTTCCCCACTCTCGTCTCTCTGCAGCATCTGCATTGGGCATGAGCCCGGATCCATATTTACGAGACATATGTAGACACTTTTCCCTTTCTTGGCAAATGCATAAATAGAATCCTAATGTCTACATGTAGGTACTATATAAATACAAAGTTGTGCATACTCTGTGGATGTCATGCATCATTTATCCATATATTTTTAGCGTCACCAACACATTTTCATATGCTGTCACGTTTCAAACTGCACCTCAATATAGTGCCTTTTTCAACATGAACTCGGCAGCAGACAACATCATTCTCCTAACATTTTCACCACAAATGAAGATCAAAAAGCAAGAAAATAAATCCAAAAATAGAAGACAAATTTTAAATGGGTAACACTTTCCTAATATGTTCTGAAGGGACTATTGAATTATCTAGAGCAGAGGACTGAATCTCTTACTCTGTAATTAGATTCATGCAATCATTTTAATGTACCTATTATGCCAGGATTTCCCAAGATGAATGTTTACACCTTGGCCGTTGTCTAAGGGGAGATAGCTATGTAAACCATCATTTACAATTCTGTGTTAAATGCCTGTGAAGTACAGTAGCAAAAAAGGGAAGGATTCTTTAAATATGACTGAAGAAGTTAGTGAATCTTCACTTGGGGATATAATATTTGAATTGACTCTTAGAGGATGAGTAGATGTTTGGATTTTCTTTTGTGTCAAACATTAGAGGAGTTAGCAATCAGTTGACCTAACAGATCAAGTCTAAGATCAAACAGAAGAAATTAATTGATCTAAGAAATAAAGTCCGTAATGTTTGGATTTCTCAACAGGAATCAGTCCTACATTTCAGAAAACTAGGAGGGAGCAGATGATTTGCTTTTCTTTCCTTTACTAAAGCCCTTAACATGTCTATCTTTGACCTTCTATTTCTGTGGACTGTGGATATGGCAAATCAGTTTAAGACGTCTGTGGTAGAACCTTACCAATAGTTTTTCAGGCCTTTTCCTTGAGAAGCAGAACATTTTATTAAATGAAAAATTTCATGGAACACTAAGTGTGAAACAGATAAAGGCAGAGAGCTAGTCTGGTTGAAGTAAGGAAAAGGGAAAAATACTGATGTGGTATTATTGTTTGAAGTCCCTGAACTTGGTTATAAAAAGAAAAAAACTGTATTGAAGAGTCATTTTCAAAGTGTAGTCTGAGCAGTAATCCCCCACGAAACATGTTAGATGCAGATTCCTGGACCACCTCCAATAATATTGATACCTCAGGTCCGGGGCAGAGCCTAGGTATCTCTCTGGTTGTGGTTGCACTCCAGGTAATTCTGACATAGTGGTCTATCAGGCATATGAGCTAAAGTGTAGACCACAGTAGAGGAAAAGAGGATTGAAAGAATAAAATAATAAATTGAAAGGAAAAGGAGAGTAGGAAAGGGAGAAATAGAGAAGCATATGTTAATTACAGAATGCCAATGAAAATTGACTAGTGGGCCACATGGTGAAATTGAAGCCAGTTTGCTACTTCTGCTATAGAACAATAATTAAAAAAACAAAACAAAACATAAAGTCCCCTAGATATATTTTTCCAAATTTCATCTTTCTCTCTCATGTTTTTCCTTTCCCCTCCTCCTACTTATTTCTCTAGCTATCTTTTAAAAGAAATTACTGAGCAGTTGACACATTGTAACTAACTATACTTCAATAAAAAAGTTAAAGAAAGAAGAATAAAAGAAAAATATATAACAGAAATTAATGTAACAGAAAGAATAACAAAACCCAAAGTTTATTGTTTAAAAAGACTAATAAAGCTAATAACTCTTAAAAATAAAAAATAAAGAAATAAAAGAAATTACTTGATAAAGTTTTTGGGAAACATATTCCAGAGTTTTAGTACTACATGTGCCTTTGCTTAAGGTTTTTATGCAGGAGAAAGAATAGAATATATCTGTATATGTT